TTGAATGTGTTTAAAATAACTACATGTTGTACATTTGAAATTGATTTAAAATGACTACATGCAAGGAATCATTTGAAATCAATTTGTTTTCTTGTCCAAATCTTGGCATACATGAATTACAATAGTCCATACAAACAACTTTGCCTTATAATTTTATCTAAATCAAAATATGAAAATCCAATTTTAGTATAAGATACAATTTATAGCAATATTAATACTTCAATAAGTCAATGTATACTTTATACTAGAATCTCATAAAATCGTGTTTGCTTATTTAAGATGTAAGGAATATAAATAGCCAAAAATATCATTGAAAACATTAGTATTTCAAAAGCCCATTATTCAATCTGAGTCAAATTTTGAAAGAAAACAGTGTTGTCCACTATGAGAAATAAACAATTCTTTCTCCTTGTCTATTGTTTCCAAGTGGATGGGTGCTTTACGTGAACAGCAATAATATCTACTTTCATATTAATCTCTATTTTTATTAAATTACTAATACAATACAATATCATGTAATCGTTTTCAGATCAATTATTATGCAGGCTGCAGGGTAAAGAAGAATCCAAAGACTATTTATTTATTTATTCAAAGCCGTCTTATGATCGTACGGCTATTGTTGATCCATATGGGTTGGAGGCCATCTTCTTGACGGAGTCGTGGAAGCGAATTTCTTCACAAGGCTGGCTTCTTCTTGGTCCTAGTTTTAATAATGGACATTCAACGAACGCGGTTAGGGCCTGTAAAATAATATCTCCTATATTTTGTATGTTTGCAATACAGAAGAAGGCCAATATATAAAGCCAATAAGACTACCTAAGGAAGGTAATTTAAATCCTAAGTTAAAGGCACTAATTTGTACAAGCCTTGACAGAGAAGTTGACTATTCCTATACAAGGTAACAAATAGTGTACAATATATTTTGTAATCTTTCCATATCTTCAATATTCCCCCTCACGCTGGAGTATGGAGATCAAGAATACCCAGCTTGTTTTTGAGTCGTTGGAATTGATCTTTACCTAAAGACTTGGTAAAGACATCTGCGAGTTGCTCCTTTGAAGGAATATAGGTAGTACGTAAAGAACCATTTTGAATCTTCTCTCGAACAACATGACAATCGATCTCAAAATGCTTGGTGCACTCGTGATATACTGGATTAGCTGCTATGTATAAAGCAGCTTGGTTGTCACAATGAAGTAAGCTTGGTGTGGTGTGTGACAAACCAAGATCATAAAGTAAATATCATAACCATTGGAGTTCACAAGTTGCCATAGCCATCGCTCTATATTCTGCTTCGGCTGATGAGCGTGATACAGTATCTTGCTTCTTTGGTTTCCATGAGATAGGACTTTCTCCAAGAAGTACAAAGTAACCTGTAGTCGACCTCCTTGTCATTGGACAGCTAGCCCAATTAGAATCACAGTCGTAGGCTCTTAATTGAAAATTATTAGAAGATGATAACAGAATCCCTTGACCTGGAGTCCCTTTCAAATAATGTAATAATCGATCTACAACATCTTTATGAGTTGTACGGGAGCTTTGCATGAATTGGCTCAAAATATGAACTGTATGAACAATGTCTGGCCTGGTGATGGTGAGATATATCAAGCGACCCACCAATCTTCTATAGGTTTCTCGATTATGTAATAGTTCTCCATCTTCATTGTTTAACTTGAGATTTTGTTCCATGGGGAAGAAAGTAGGACGTGCACCAATAAGACCTGAGTCTTTCAAAATGTCAAGTGCATACTTCCGTTGGCTCAAATACAATCCCTTTGAAGAACGAGACACTTCTATCCCAAGGAAGTATTTTAAATCACCAAGGTCTTTTAAATGAAAACGTTGACGCAACAAATTCTTGATAATTGATATAGTAGCAGCATCGGTACCTGTAATAATAATATCGTCAACATATACAAGCAAGAAAATTGATGACTTACCTTTGTGACGATAGAAAAGGGAGTAATCTGCTTTAGATTGAGTAAATCCCGCATCAAGTAATGCTTTGGAGAATTTTGCAAACCAACATCGAGAAGCTTGCTTTAATCCATAAAGTGATTTGTTAAGATGACACACCATATTTCCCCCCTTGCCGTGATAACCTGGAGGGAGCTGCATGTAAACCTCTTCATGTAAATCACCATGAAGAAAGGCATTGTTGACGTCTAATTGTTGAAGACACCAACCCTTGGCAGCGGCCAAAGATAATAAAACACGAACAGTGGTAAGCTTGGCAACAAGAGAAAAAGTTTCATGATAATCAATCCCTTCCATTTGTGTATATCCCTTGGTGACGAGGTGAGCTTTGCATCGTTCAATAGGGCCATTAGAATGTCGTTTTATTTTATAGACCCACTTGCAGCCAATGGCTTTTTTTATGAACAGGCAAGGCCATGAGGGTCCATGTATGATTAGCTTCCAAGGCAGCAAGTTCACTTTGCATAGCTTTACGCTGTTAGGCTCAACAATGGTAGTAATAGAAGCAAGAAAACTTTGATGTTTAATAGAGAATTTTTCATAAGATAAATAATGGGATAAAGGGTACCTGGTGCCATGTTGACATGAATGTAAGAGGTTGCTTGAGATTGGTAGCAGTGATAATCATTAAGGTAACCAGGTGGTTTGCGACTATGAGGAGGAGGAGATGAGGGAGGTGCTATAATGGCAGAGGAAGTATTGGAATTTGTGATGGCTGGTGTAGGTGTTTCGGTGGGAGATGGAGGCAAAAGAGATGGGAGAGAAGAAAGTAAGTTGGTTGGTGGAGAAGAAGGTATGTTGGTGGGTGAGGGAGAAGAAGGTATGTTGGTGGGTGGAGTAGAGGGAGACGTGTTAGTGTCTGGAGTGGCTTGTGTTTCTGGGTTAGATAAATCTGGTGAGGTAAGTGGATGAGCGGAAGCTAAAGGAAGGTGGGAATGTTCAAAATCTGTTGCAGGAATGGGTAAAACACCAGGTAAAGTGTGGTTATTTTGTGATAAATTATAAGGAAAAATAGTTTCGTAAAAAGTGACATCTCTAGTAGTGTAAATTTTCTTTGTTTCAAGATCATATATTTTATAAGCCTTTTGAAAAGGTGGATAACCAATAAAGATACATGGTTTTGCTCTTTTATCAAATTTACGAGAATGGGGAGACAAGTTATGACCATAACAAAGACAACCAAAAATTTGTAGGTGGGTATAAGAAGGTGCTTTGTTGAAAAGAATTTCATAAGGTGTTTTCCCATGTAAGATTTTGGTGGGTAAACGATTAATTAGATAAGCAGCAGTAAGAACACAATCACCCCAAAAAGAAACAAGTAAATTTGATTGAAAATAAAGGGAACGAGCAATATTTAAAAGATGACGATGTTTTCTTTCGACGGCACCATTTTGTTGTGGTGTTGCCACACAACTATGTTGATGAATGACACCAAGTGAAGAAAAATATTGGTTCAATGTGTGATTAAAAAATTCAGTTCCATTGTCAGTACTAACTTGACGAATAGAACAATTAAATTGTGTTTTGACCATAGCAAAAAATGTGGTAGGTAGGTATTAACTTCTGATTTATGCTGCATTAAATAAAGCCAAGTACTACGAGAAAAATCATCAACTACGGTTAAAAAATATTTAGCACCAGAAATTGAAGAAATAGAATAAGGTCCCCAAACATCAAAATGTATTAAATCGAAGCAAGCATTTGTTGATATAGTGCTTAAAGGAACAGAAAGCCGACAATGTTTAGCCAAAGGGCAAATAGTGCAAGCATGATTATTATCAAAAGAAATTTTTGAATTCAAACTTTGTAAATAAGGAAGAGTACACTTGGATGGATGTCCTAAGCGCCAATGCCACAGACTAAAATTTGGGGAAGAGACAGCGGAATTAGCAATGGAAGGCACATCGGGGGCTAGGTAATAAAGACCACCACGTTCCTTGCCCTTACCAATCAACCTCTTCGAACTCAAGTCCTGCAAAACACAATGATCAGAATAAAAGGTTTGAAAGGAGATATAGTGATTGATTGACAGCCATGACTGACTGGTCAGGAGATATAGTGATTGTAGGGTGAAAAGAGGCTTGAAAGGAGTTTAGGGTGAAAAGAGGCTTGTAAGCTCTGATACCACGTAAAATAATATCTCGTATATTTTGTATGTTGGCAATACGGAAGAAGGCCAATATATAAAGCCAATAAGACTACCTAAGGAAGGTAATTTAAATCCTAAGTTAAAGGCACTAATTTGTACATGCCTTAATAGAGAAGTTGACTATTCCTATACAAGGTAACAAATAATGTACAATATATTTTGTAATCTTTCCATATCTTCAATAGGGCCACATTTTTGGTGGACTTGGCCCAAATGGAGGGCATCAAGAACTGGATTATTGCTTTATGCAACAAGGGAAATGAGGCACATCAGGTACATTTATCGCCATTTGTTATGTCCCAACATGTGCATTTCTGTGGGTTTGTTTGGTCAAAATCCAAGAAAATTATCTTAATCACAAAATTTGGCGTGGTGAAGATCCGAATTATTTTGGGTTTATTGCGAGCAGGTTAACCCTTATGGATCATCCAGTACCGCCTACATATATTGGTAATTGCGTCGGGTTTGGCCGGTCAATGGAGGTGAGGAAGGACTTGTTGGGGGAAAATTGAATTGTTGTTGCGGCAAGGGCAATTGGAAATACTATTAAGAAGCTACACTAGGCAATTTTGGGAGGGGCAGAGAAGTGGATATCGGAGTGGGAGGTGATGTTTGGGTCGGAGCTTCATGTTATGGTTTTCGGGTCACCTAAGGTGGGATTTTTATGAGACAGATTTTGGATGGGGTATTTCACTCATTGAGAGTAGAGACATATTGGGTGGGATTGAGGTTGGCTTGGTCCTACCAAAGCCTCAAATGGGTGCTTTTTCCTGACTTCATCTTTGTATTGTAGGTGTGTGTATATAATTATTGAGACTCTTGTTCTTTTCTTTTGATTTGTCAATTTATGGTTATTGGGGCGTGAGGTGAACTATTAAAATGGGGCCAATGAATTTAATATGCTAGGGAGACCAACTTTAGATACTAACTTGTGTACCATATCTCTAATAGAGCGTGGGACTCATTGTATTGGTGGGCTCCACCTCTATTAGAGAGATGGTACATGAGTTGGTATATAAAGTTGGTCTCCCTAGCATGACCCTTTAATTTTTTTCTTTTCACACAATGTTCTCTGTCAGCATGATGAATATTGTCTTGTTTTCACTATTGTCAGTGAAGAATTTATTTTTACATTAGTGCTCTGCAATTTTTTTTCTCCCCAAAACTCACGTTAACATGTTGAGTGTTTGTTTTAACGGGCTTCCTCCTTTTCTCAGTGAGCGTATTTCATCCAGCAATTTTTTTAGAACTCCTTACTGGTTTTAGCTTTCTGTGTAGTTCACTTGGTCAATAGAGAATGATCTTTGGTGGTAAGCAATCGGAAGATGGTTGAACTCTTGCATATTATAACATCCAAAAGAAGTGAACGCTTCACCTAGTTTGATATCGATCTCAGTTTCTTCCCCGGTAATTTGGAATTGCAGTTTTAATTCAAAAGTTTCTTTAATACAAACTATTGGAACTACTGTTTTTATTAAGACGAGAGACTAAGTTGGACAATATTTGGAAGTAAGGTAGTTGATTGAAACTGTAACACCCCGACCCCAAATTTAGCCCATGTTTAATTAATTTAAATGGAATTGAGAAATTACCAGTGGGATAGGGGTATTTTAGTCATTTTCTTATCCGGAAGGAATTTGGGAATTCCGGTTGTACCGTTGCGTAGAGCACGGTGAGATGAGTTCGTAGCACAATGAACAAAAAAGGGGGGGGGGGGGGTACGTGGGGTAGTGCGTATAGCACTGTAAGCTAACATTCAATCGCTTTAATTACCTTTAAAAATCCACACAATTAATTATATAAGATAAATTCTAAACTTATATAAACCTCCACAAATAAAGCATACCATAAACTCCCCCATTTAATTTCACTAAATTATATCTTAAGCTCACGGTCTCCGTTTCACTCAACAACACTCGAGACCTGTCACTAAGGTCATTCTAGCCCTCCTGGGAT